AAAATGGTACTAAATACTGTTAAAATGCCATGTGGTTGCCCGTGCAGTCAGGGATTTCATATAGAAAACCTAACCTAGAACGCACTAATGTCAAACGCATAATTTTTGTGATATGGCTTAATAACATATGAGTGAGGTTGCATTTTATGTGTAAAACGCCTGATCGCACAGCAAATACATGCCATTTTGACTGTTTTAGTACGATTTTGTATGAGAAGTGCTACGAAGCGCCTACGTAACATTGGTCTATTTTATGACAGAATCGGTTCCTGAGTTAGAGTTTAACTCAGCTTTCGTATTTTTTTTTTTCGAGTGGAGCCCCATCCAATCCTTACTTTGCTGCAGATGCTATTTATGTTTCTGAGCCATATTTTCATGTCGTGGCATAACTAAATTTAATTCCATGCACTAGTTGGTATTTCACAAGATTAGATTTCTGATTGGGTTAAAGGTCAAAAATAAATGGAAAGATATATGTGTCTTTAAGCGCGTTGATTTTGCATAACACACTTGAAATGCATAACTTTCTTCAGTGATGTTATGTAAAGGCCACCAGCATTATACAATGACATTTTCCTATCATAAAACGATGAACCAATGTATCTATTGCTTATTTCAGCTTAACTGTAGAGGTTGAAAAACTCAATCCTACACAATCACTTTGCACACGCCGCTTATACCTATAGCTATATGCACGCGTGCCTGAGTTTATGCAAACACACACACACACGCGCACACACACACACATATATATATACATATAAATATATGAAAATAATGCATATAATAGCATTAAAATGCATACAAATAGCAAAAACTCGCCTACCCGAACATAGATTTATCCAAAGTGCACGTAAGCACTATTTCCTCTTGTATCTCATTTTTGGCAACACATACATGAGTGGCATTTATTTAACCGTCATTCCTTTAAAACTTCTTTGCTTATTTGTCATATTTATTTGACAAGCGCATCCAACCAACACCTTTCAATATTTTCCATTCCTTTCATCCTTCAAATCGTCAATCATAATCATTTTGCCACCTTCAAGTTTCCTTGGAATAGCTTCATGTTGCTAGCACTTACATCCAATGCTACATTCTTCGATTCAAATATCTAATGGTTCTCAAGTATTTCATCATATCAGAGTTTTTATTAAGTTATGATTACAAAGAAAAAGCTAGGTTAGTATTAAGTTTGTTTTCATCAAGTTAAGTTTAGGGGAGTTTCGAACCCGAAGTGTTCGGATAATTTATATTCTTCTATTTTATTGCCGTTATATATATTCATAGTTTTAGTTTTTTCATATTTTAGCTTAAATATGCGTTACCCATGTTCAAAGTCACTCAGAAGTTGAGTGGTAATGCTCATGATTATGTAACGTACAAAGCGTTTAGTGGTAAAATTTCTTTATGTTTGAGACTTTTCACCAAACTATAAACTATAAACTATAAACTATTCACAATCTAGTAGAAAAAAAATCCAAAAATTAAAATCGTAATACGGCGAAGTATGTTATTTGACAATTTAAATTCAATAACTGCACAAAATTTTGTCAATGCAGGTTTGGTAGGCAATATTTTCAGACATTTTTTATGCTCAAAACAAAGTTTTTAAAAAGAAATTATATCGCTCAAATAATAATTCGAGTGCATAGTGTGTAATGTCTTATTTAAATATCCTTACATCCCGTTAAATTTTCAATATAAATATCGTATTTTTCAATGTGTCTAAATTGCCTTAATTTAATGGTCCATATTTATTAACACAATAGATAAAAATTATATGAAGAAAATACTTATTAAAAACCGTTTATTAATTGATCAATCTGCGGCTAACGTACAAATAGCAAAAGTATGCGCCCTTTTGATATAATGATGTGGGCTTGGCAGTGATGAATCATTGTATAAGTATTGATGAAACTGACTGAATGTCGAAACATTCATTTTTAAATTCATAAAACGTACATAGGTTTAGTTAATAAGTAATAAGTCCGATAGTTATGAATTATTCTTATACTCATTCAAGTTAGTGTCTGAAATTAAGAATTAATTCCAGGTATATTTCCTTTAGAATGATAAAATATTCTATTGATATTGGATGATATTAATCACAACAATTAAATCTAGTATTCAAATAAATAAGCGTATGTTTGTGATTTGCTTTAATCCAAAGAAAATAAAGACAACATAATATACGTGCTTCTAATGGGATTTGTTTCACAAGATGTTTCGTTGTTTCTTGGTGAAATACAGAGATTTTCTCACAAACAACACGCAATATGCAATTGTATTGGAATGTCATGAAAACGTGTGCTTGGTACTAAATATTCGATGCTTTACTGCTATTTTTGAGATCTTCACAAATCACAATTGCTCCAACTAATATATATTTCACTATTTTAATAATCATATTTCCATTTTGTTGTCATTCTTTTGTCTATTAGTTTATCAGTAATACGTATCATAATAATGAAATCTTAAAATAAAATAACATATCTTTATTTAAATCAAAATAACTAGATGTTTGTTTTGCATTAAGACAAGTTGCATGAATTTCCCGATACGTGTGTAACTGTGTATAATGAACTTCATGGATGTCAAGTGAATATTAGCTTTATACAAAAATTTTAACTACTTATTTGTTTCAACAATAAAGTTTTCGCACCCACATTTTAAGTGCGCAAACACACACTTGTAGGGGAGCAATAATTTTATTAATTTACTAGTTAGCTGGGACAAAAGTATATTTTATGGTAATTTGAACATTTGTCTACTACTATTTTTTTGTAAAATCGCTTTGCATTCTTTTTGTTCCTTTTTCTTTCGTATTACTTAAGTGATTTTTTTTTATCTGTTTAACCTTCAAGAAATACATGCCACAACCGTACTCAACGCACACATTTGAAAAAATATCATCATTATGGCTGATTGTGAGCTAAATTATCTAAGCAAAAACTTGGTAAATGACCAATAACTACTAATGTTAAACTTACAACAAAATTTCAAACAAAATGATCTATTCGATTCAAGTATTCGAATATTCGAATATACTTTTGACTCTTTATCCAAGACCAAATTCAGGCATGGGGTTGAAAATTCAAAATCAGAAGAGTGTTTAGATACTAAATACGAGCATACGACTATACAACAAACGAAGATTCTATAGCTCACATTAAAAAACTTCTTTAACTATACTTAAATAAATCTTCGCCGTCTCATTATTGTGTGCAAATAAAGTCGAATCCTCGTGTTACTTATTGTTACATACACAAGGCAAAACACAAAACTTTCGACGTGCTAAATACATGTGTTCGCAAGTAAATTAAAAGTCAAACAACTATTGTTGCTATTATTAATTCTTCAATTGTACTTTTAATTTCTTTGTTGGCGGATCATAATCACTCGCAAACGTAAAAGACGATTAATATCTTCAAATGTAATTTTGGGAGCCACCCATGTGATAAAGTGTTTATTGTAAACATTTTGGATACAATTTAACGACATACTTAATAAAAAATATGAAAGAACGTTTGTAATACAATACAATTTTAATTAAATTAATATAACTGCTGTAGAATATTGATATTATAAGCATATTTTTTGTTTCAGTGTTTTTGTTCAAATGATCAGTTTTTAAAAATAATATATATATATATATATTAGTTTGGTTTAAAAAATAGGCGTTATATCAATAAAATTGTATAAATGCTTTTTTTAATTTATTTTAAATCCATACAAGCCTTCATTTAGTGGAATATAAATTTGGTATTCTTAATTAATGAAACCCTATAGCACTATGAAATTAAACCATCTTTAAATTACCCTACTTTGTTTTCATTTGAAAATGAATTAAAGTAACCACACGTCCGTTAATTATGGAGAAAAATGCACAGAATTTTTCGTACGGGAAGTTCCAGCAATTTGCCTTAAAGCACGATGCCATGCGCCCCACTAGTTTAAATTGTCACCTTGTTTTGAAGGTTTCTGAACATTTTGGCATACCTCAGATGAAATAGATGTGTGTGTTTTGTATGTCCACAATTTGTTGCCCACGTCTTTGGGCGCACAGATCAACCGATTTGAATGGTTCAAAAAACATTTTTCAATTTTTTTTTTGTACATCGAAAATGATTCAAATTTAATTTTAATTCTGGCTGAAATTTTTAAGCTCACTTACATACTTTAAATGAATAATTTAAACTTTATAATTCAGTATATGTAATTCTTATAAATATTAGACAATGTAACATCATTATTTATAATAATCTATTTGAAAACATTTAATATTTCTCGAACATTTCGTTACGCTGCAGGAAGTTCTAACAATTTGCCTTTAGGCACGTTGCCATACACTATTAGTTTACTAATTTTTATTGTTTACAGCTTTGCCTTTTATTTATACACAAAAACTGGCCGTTCGAAGTTACCCCGTCTATGGGGTAAAAAGGTCTAGATAACAAATTTTTGAAAGACGTGAAAAAAGCACATTTCTACAATGATGAAGTAGCTAGTTACTTGAAACTTTTCAAAAAGTAGGTCAAAGAATAAATACTCAATTCATTTTCTATCTCTCCTCGCAGAAATTTGAAAATATTGTATAAGCTCAGTAGTATTATTTACAATTATACACAAAACACAGAATGCAAAAAGAATCTGAAAAACTTGAAACGTAATCAATAAGTCGAATGACCAAAAAAGACTTGGATTGGATTATACCATGTTTTCTATAGAAAGTGTATAAAACTTCCAGTTTGATTGTATTGACAAAATATAGATAATGGATTTATTGTTTTTATAATACCGCATTGTATATAGCATCCAAACAACACATCCTTATACACTTAAAGTACTTTTTTTTTTTGATTCTCTAGAAATTGTTTAGAATATACTTTACTTAGCAAAACAACATTTGCCGGGTCAGCTAGTATATATATATATATATATATATATATATTATAAATTTGTAACAATTAATTAATTTCAACAAATTTCCTTTTAAGGTAATATTATGCAGTATTTTGGTTTCGGTGTTAGCGGCCCCACAGCGGGGCGGTGGAGGAGACGAGTCTCAAGCAACAATAATACGACAAAACTTTGACCTGCAGCCTGACGGTAGTTATATAAGCAGCTATGAGACTTCTAATGGAATCAAAAGCGATGAACAAGTAGGTTAACATTGCCACTGCAATACTCCTACAGTCTTTAGGATCTTACTTAACCAATTCTCTATAGAGAGGAAATCTCTACTTCAAATTTAATTTATTTCATAATTGTTCCATATTAACCAAACCTATACCAAACTATACTTTTCGTAAATACAAATAATTTTGAAGTTTCATATTTTTGTTACTTTACCTTGACTGTTTCCATTTGTGAAATGTATTAGGGTAACTTGAAACGCTCATCTGATCCGCAAGGCGGCGACGTAGTGGTTGTCCAAGGAGCCTTCAGCTACACATCACCCGACGGCACGCCAATCCAGCTAAACTACGTTGCTGACGACGTCTTGGGCTTCGTACCGCAGGGCGCCCATCTGCCAACACCTCCTCCAATTCCACCAGAGATCCAGAAAGCGCTCGATTACCTCGCCACGTTGCCATCTACAACGGAAAGAAACGGATAAGCAGCACACTTTAAAACTCCACAAACGATCTGATACTTTGCACACTGATTCATGTAGATCCGTTTTGTTAATCGACTGATTTTAAATTCCAAAGACCTTGTCAGTACTGTCGAAGTTTTGCGAAAAGTTTAAAAGTATAAAAATTTAAATCTGATTTGCTGCTGTATTGATTTTTATATCACAAACATTGACGGAAGTGGCATGAATCGTAGTGCTCGACTCTACCTACTAAAAAAGAAAAATGAACTGTGGTTTCTTTGTTATATAATTGCACTACACATTTTTTTATTTGAGCACTATTATTTTATATTTTGCAATTATGACAGCTTACTTATAATTATATAAATTAACAAATGCAAAATGCAGCTGGTATTAGAAATGTGTTAACAAATAATTATAAATCTAATAAGCAATCTCATTGCTTCAAATTATAGGTCATATATACATACATATAAATATGTATTTATATATACATATATATAAGTGTATGAGAATATATTTTTGTGTTTCTGTGTATGTGTCTGCGCTTGTATAGATATGACATGTAATGTGCGACAAGTGTGTGTTAGTAATACTGTGTGCATATCTGTCTATATATATATATATATATATATATATATATACATATATATATATGCATATGTATATATATATATATATATATATATATATATATGTATGTATATATATATATATGTATATATAAACTTTTCTTGCACGTTATTTTCATTTTTATATTCCAAAATGTAACATGCTGAAGCTTGCAATCTATAAACTACACATCTGCTTTTATCTTTATAGTTGAAAGCTATTTCATTTTCTATGCACTTTTGTCGCTTTATTGTAGAATTTTATTTTACAATTATAAGCATAATGTTGCATTAAAACAACTGTAATGTGAATAAAAAATAAACGTTATTTATAGAAGCATGAAACTTTTTTTATTTTGTTGTACTTAAAACGATTTGGTTGAACGCTAAGCAAATTTTATAGAAAATTGAAAATAATGACCATACTTTTCAAACAACGAAGGGATACCAAAACTCGCAAACGGATCGTCAGAGAATTACAAGCAAAAATATTATTAATTCCAATAGCTTTTATTAATATTTAGGAATTTTCAGAAGCACGCCCAATCACACCAAAACCATAATGCCCTACAATAATATCAAAAAAGAATTTCCAAACATTTTCATTATTTTCTGTAATAAGTTATTAATATTTTATTACTGTTTATCATAGATAAGGAAATGTTTCATAGATAAGGAAATGCTGTTTATTTTCACTAATTACTGGTGCATTTTTTATGTTACAACAAATCATAATAGCAATATATTAGCCTTTAAATTTATTATGTATTTTAATTACGGCATCGGACCCTAATACTCAATGTTATTTAACAGTTGTAACATAAAAAATAGTAGTGTATGGCATCGTGCCTTAAGGCAAATTGCTGGAACTTCCTGTACCGTAACGTAATGATCGAATAATATTGTATGTTTTCAAATAGATTTTTATAAATATTGTAACATTGTTTAATATTTATAAGAATTATATAAACTGAATTGTAAAGTTGAAATTATTTGTTTAAAGTATATTAGAACAGAATTAAAATTAAAATCTGAATTATTTTCGACATACAAAAAAAAATTAGAAACAAAAAAAAATTTTCTCCAAAAGCAATTATTTTGTTGAAACAAGCAGAAAGTTCTTTGAATAATTCAAATCAAACGCTTAGTTCTCTCAAAAACTGCCTTTTTTGCACATTTAGCTCTGTATCTTTGAAATGGCTGGACCTGCCTTTACTAAAAACTAACTACCTCTTCTCCCAATTATTATAAATTGAATGTTTTTTAGATCATTTAGATCGGATACTCCGTTCTTTCAAAAACTCGATTTGCATTTTCTGCATTTATTGTTCCGTATCTCCGTAACGGCTAGACCTGCCTTTGCAAAAAACTAATCAGTACATCTCCCTAACAATGGGAATCGAATGTTTTTTGAACCATTTAAATCGGCTGATCCGTGCGCCTGAAAATGTATGCTAAAATGTTCAGAAACCTTCAAAACGTCGAGAAATGCAAAATTTTTCATTTTCGATTTTTGGCCCATTACTATAACTACCCTACGGAAAGTTGATAAAAATATAAAGTCATAGACCTTATACTACATGTAGTTAGTCTATGCATAAATTACAAAAGTCATTGTAAATTAATAATTAATTTTAAATTATCAAAGGAAGCCATATATTATATTACTGACGTTTAGATTGTTTTATTTTTCGCTATGTTTTATTTTTCTCGATTAGAATTTTATATTTTTTAAAAAATATTTTTTTATAAAATTATATTATCTTAAGTGGCAAACATTTGTATCAGTTTATAGCCAAATTTCATAATGTCTCTGACAAAAAATCTAAGTGCATTGCGAAAATATGCGTTGCTGTCTTCCATTTCCCGAAGGTAAGACTTTTGTTAATTATATAAATAGAATTTTAAAAAGAATGATTAATGCAAGCCGTAAACTATCTTGTTGAGGTAACAAATTAATATGTGCACAAGTTTTTCATTTGCATGAATTCGAAGTAGCAAGTTTATGAAATATGAAATGTACAATGTACCTATAAACAAATTAAACAAATTAAATATTATTTTTATAAAGCAGACTACTTGCACGACGATTTTCGGATTCGTGTCCAAAAAAAGGACTAGTTCTAGGAGTATATCGTTCAGAGGGCGAAGATCCAAAATTAACGCCGACCGCTGAACGATTTAACGAGCGCGTAGGCGGCCGCCTCTGCGAGATGATTCGTGAGGTGGGCGACACGTACAAAGGCAAAGGCAAAGGCAATGTATTTAACAACCTTGATCCTGAATTTTTCTCTGTGTGTGTGGTAGAAATTGGTAAAGAAGGAGCAGGGTACGATCTTCTGGAAAATATTGATGAAGGTTTGCACAGTTTTAATGTTTGAAATGTTTTTAAATAGTTAAACTTTCTAAAAAGCAAATATTTCATCCCAGATATATTTTTTAAAATCGATGAAAATATATAAAATACTAGCTGACCCGGCAAACGTTGTTTTGCTAAGTAAGGTATATTCTAAACAATTTCTAGACCTAGAGAATCAAAAATATTAATACTTTAAGTGTGTAAGGATGATGTGTTATTTGAATGATATATATAATGAGGTATTATAAAAACAATAAACTCCATTAGTTTGTCTATATTTTGTCAATACAATCAAACTGGAAGATTTATACACTTTCTATAGAAAACATGGCATAATCCAATCCAAGTCTTTTTTGGTCTTTCGACTTATTGACTACATTTCAAGTTTTTCAGATTCTTTTTGTAAATAATACTACCGAGCTTATACAAAATTTTCAAATTTTTGCGAGGAGAGATAGAAAATGATTTAAGTATTTCTTCTTTGACATGCTTTTTGAAAAGTTTCAAGTAGCATTCGATAAATTAAAGTATGTTCAATAAAAAGTATATATGTAGAACAGGGTGAGACACAAAGGTCCAATTTGACTTTGAGCAAATATTAATTATATTATAAAAATCAAACCAATTATAAAAATCAAAATAACACATTTCAAACGAACAATTATCTGACTACACTCAGTCAAACTGCCAGCTACTTCATCATTGTAAAAATGTGCTTTTTTGCTAGATCTAGACATTTTTACCCTATAGGCGAAGTAACTTGGAACGGTCAGGTGGCAAACAGGTTTAATGTCTTATTTTAATTTTAAATGTATTTTACAAAATAATTACATTTTTAACTAATGCTAAAAAACTACCAACGGATGAAAATACTTTTATTATGGATGTTCAAAGATTACCGTTTATCTCCCCCATTTCAAAGATTATCGTTTTCAAATCAAGGTTTTAGCTCTTTTTCCTCTACTTTCAAATATTGTTGTTAAACAATGCTTAACTTTACTGATTTTTGACACATCGGTGGTGAACCTTTTTAACCCCGGACCTTCATATATTACTATCTATTCTTCGATAAATTCTGGGAAATTATAACTAGGAAAATGTCCATTTGATCGATACCAAATTTAGGTTCTGAATTTAAAAACATAAATAAAAAATAATATAACCTAGAAAATGTTTTATAAATACCAATGAGTATATGATTATACAAATGAGATCATTCCGAGCACCGTGTTTGAGAAAAATATGCCAAAAAGTGCATTTTCGTATTAATATTTCAAAAAAGTTGATATTTTGAGTATTTCTAGTAACAATTACGGCCCTTTTACTAACGTTTTTGTATGTAAATAAAACTACAAACAAAACTACTTGTTACAATTTAATCATAATTAAATAATATTCACGTAAAACATCCTATTAAACATAATCGAACATCATCTGTCAAAAACGTTTGACATTCAAGTATTAGCCACCGTCCATTGTTTTATTTACATTACGCTTCTATAAAAAATTTCAAATTAAAAATGTAAAGTTTCTACGCGATTTTGAAATATTATCTCACCTTTCCGACCATCTTTGGATTGGCACGAATTTTTCAAGACTAAGACTGGCCAAATCGATTCAGTCGTTTTCGAGTTTTATTCGGACATTTGAAAGAGAGCTCCATTTTTATATATAAGAAAGATATACACACAGTCACGTAAAAATTTTACTTTATAATTCAGTTTCAGTATAGTATTATATCAACGTCTGAAATGTTTCCCGTGTCATAATATTAATTAAAGGCGAAATTATTAGGCCGCGAAAATGTACGCGTGGCTGCTGCTACTGGTGTGACTCGTCTACGCAAGGAAGATTTGGGCCATATTGCCGTAGAAGACATGGGATATGCTCAAGAAGCAGCAGAAGGCGCTTCTTTGGCGGCTTGGCAATATCAAGAGTACAAGAATAAGTGTTACCGTAAAATAGTTCCAACATTAGAACTATTCGAATCCTGCGATACAGACGGCTGGACACGTGGACTATATCTAGCAGATGCACAGAATCTTGCTCGCCGTTTATCTGAAGCCCCTTCAAACGCCATGACGCCAACCTCGTTTGCTCAAGCTGCGGCTGATGTGCTCTGTCCATGCGGAATTAATGTCGATGTGCGCGATCGATGTTGGCTCGAAAAAAATCACATGGATCTTTTCCTGCATATTGCCAGAGGTATATTATAATTTAATAAATCGATTCTTCATTCTAACTTCCAAAATCTTCATCCATCATAATAAATGATTAAAATAATATAGGTAGCACTCACTGTTAGTATTTTATAACTAAACAATATATAAACACAGCAAGCGTGAGAATATTTTCAAATATATATTATAAAAATACGTATTAAAAAGGCTCGTGCGAGTCGCCTGTACTGCTTGAGATAAACTACTGCGGCGGTGATTCAGAAGATAAGCCGATTCTGCTAGTGGGAAAGGGAACTACTTTTGATGCAGGTGGTCTGTACTTAAAACGTGATGATCCAGCATTAGATGAACATAGAGCAGATATGGCCGGAGCTGCTATGGTAATTGCCATCATACGTGCTGCCTCGCTTCTTTCCCTGCCGATTAATCTATGCTCCGTGCTTTGCCTCTGCGAGAATATGCCCAGTGGAATGGCGTGTAAACCAGGTAATATATTGCAGAATCCATAAAACTATTGCCCGAATTAAATCGGTATTTTCATTCTGAAATCTCAATCCTTCTCTCATATCATTACTGTTATTCATGCAACCATCGTGCTTCATCTTTTTTTCATCTTTTAATTTTACGATCTTCGTATTATGTCAACCGTTTATCAAAACTGATCGCCATGGACAGAAATAGATGATAATCATTTGGTGCTAAGCTCCAAAAGCTTCTTGCGAGTCACTCTTTGGAGTTGCTCTGATGACACACAATTCCTCTCCTATTGGTCAAAGCTGGCCGCTTCTGGGCTTCTGATGGTATAATTGTTGTACAGTTACAAATTGAAATTTTTGTCATAGGGGACAGCTTATTATAGATCCCTGTCATTCCATTCTACCAAACACACAGCAAAAGCTTGGCACCGTTTACGCCGACCCAATGCGATTCGACCGTGACTTCGCTTTACGTTATAGTAAATTATCGACTTTTCATGAGTTACAGTATCAGGACCAAAGCACTATTCATATTTTCGGCCGCCTGATTTGCGTTTTTACCTTTATCGAACAAAAAGTGTAAAACATAGCGTATTTTCTCTTTGCTAGTGACCATTTTTGACGTGCACTCCGATCGGACTTACAACGCGAAATACAGATGATTAAAGTCAGATAATTAAAGTCTGGTTTTAATAAAAATAATGGATTAAAAATATAGATAGCCAGTATGGCTGCCCGAAATATAAAATGAACTAAATGCAAACGTAAATGTTAAGTACTATCATCCAGTATTTTTTAATACAAAATGGATTTTATGATTTATTATGAATTCTCTTAATTTATTAAATTCGTTATAGGTGATATTATATTTTCAAGAAACGGTATTGCCGTTGCTATTCGAAATCCAGATGCGGAAGGTAGAGTTTGCATGGCCGAAGCCATGGAATATGGTCAGAAATTGTTCAAGCCTCGCATTGTGATCGACATCGCTACTGCGCATAGAGGAATTCCGTCCCTTCTTGGAGACGGCGCCGCTGCTGTTTGGTCAAACTCGCGCCAACTGTGGAAGCAGGTCCACAGAGCTGGGGCAATTACGGGGGACCGATGCTGGAGAATGCCTCTATGGAAGGTCAGTTCATTTGCTGATCTTTTATCATTGAAATGATATGGCGTATTAATTTTGCTTCGATTGGCCCAGCAATAACAAAAACAATAAAGTACTAATAGAAATAGCTTGCGACAGTTTTTGAAAAATTAGTAATGTATTACATTGTACCTTAAGACAATTTTCCAAAACTTTTCGATTTATAAAAAAATAAACAAGGTGTAAGTTCCTAATATGTATAAATAAACTATTAAAATTGTGACGATAAAGTTTCAAAATTTTGACATATCCCATTATTCCAAACTGTGACGAATTTTTATTTAAACTTATGGTAAACTTTTATTGAACAACTTTTCGCAGGTTCATAATATTTTACGATGTTCGTTAACACCGTGAACTTTATCATTACATAATCACTATATCATCGAAATCGTAAAAAAATCAATAAACAATTACGAAGAAACGGCCGATCTTCATTAGTAACTAATTAATATCATTCCCAACTAATCGCAATCTCTTAAACAGTTCAATATCTCTGAATTTCCAATATCGACTCAGCACTTTAATAAAAAAAACAATTACAGTTATCAGCTAACTCTAAAGAAACGTTTCGCAAAACTAATCAACGTTTCATCGAAAGGATTTTAACTTTGTGAAATCTTTGCACACGTTTCAAATTTGGTATCAAATGATTCGAAATGTAAAATTAGTAAATCGGATTTGCTGGGGAAAACATAAATTCATTTTTGGGATGTTAATGAATAAAATTACTTCAATTTTCTAATTTATCTGAAAATCGTACAGATATTAAACAAAACACAAAGTTAAAGTATTTATAAAAAAGCAACCTACATTTTCAAATATTTTGAAATACTTTGAGTTTACAAAATATTGAATATATCATGTATTGATATGAAATGCAAAATTTAGAAATAAAACTTAAGGCATTTTATTAAAATCTCTATACGAATCTAATAATAATTGAAATACATTTCTCAAATTCTTGATCTTGGTTCCAAATAGCCATTTTAAGCTTTTTTATTCCGCCCTAGCTCATCTCCACAAAAGATCGAACGCTCATCCTACTCTCAATACCAATTGAACCTTCTGAACCGGTTCTAGTATTCTCCTTAAAAATGATATATCATTACTTGATTAAACATAAACTTAAACATAATATATCATTACATACATGTACAAGTTACATGTATGTAACATACACGCATTGATTTTTACTTGGGTATGGCAAACTGAGTAAAAGACTTGATAGGCGAGATAAATCCAAAAATCAAAATTCAATTTTATTGCAATGATAAAAAATCTAAAGATCCGCAAGTGCAAACAGACTTGATCATAACAATGAAATATTACATTTATTAATAAATATTTTATGATTTTCTCATTTATGTAGACTTTCAAAGATAAAGTCGTCGGATGCGAGTCGGTCGATTGCGTTAATGAAGTTGAGGAGAATGGTGACCCATGTTATCAAGCGTCATTTCTACATGAATTTATACCATGTGCTGATTGGTTGCATTTTGACATCACCGGAGTTGGGATGTTAGCCCATGATATCGCATTTCCGTATTACAGGTAAATTTAATTTGTATGTGCTACTACTGCACCCGTTTATACTTAACACATTGCCGCAAATGACAGATATAACCGTCCGATCTTTAGCGATATGTAAGCAAACAACGGCCCAATAATTAATAATTAATAATTTAATAATAGTTAATAATTTTCACTTCCAAACTTACAACTTACACTCGATTTCATCTATCAATCATAAACAATTAAAAGTTAAAGTAAATTTATTTTTTATTAATTTTTTTTATCACTTTCGTACAAAATGATATAATTATACAATGTACAAAATGACATACCAACATTGAACCTATTAACGGTGATTAAGTTTTAACTTCTACTCTAACTACTCGTAAAAACAAACCAGAGAACTCACTGAAATAGAGTCGACTTGCATTTCATACTTTCTTGTTCTGAGCCCGGCGAAGGTTGGTTACGATGTATGATTAGTTTCTTTTGGGCTCATATGTCATGTGTAGCCTTCTTAAAAACTAGCATATCAGTATGTCCTTGCCATATATGTCATTTTGTCCTATTATATAAACAAACTAGTTTTTGTAATTGTTTGCATTTTTTCTTAATTAAAAGACAATGTTACTGTTACTCAATGAACATAATATAAGTATAAACAGAAGAGACTGGTTATGATACCATTAAATAAATAAATATCATTAAAAAACAAAACAGCATAAAATTTTATCCGTATTTCCACTATATGTTAATAATATTCTAGTTTACATGCTACTTCTATCTTACAATTAAATAGTCTTTTTACTCGTGGTAAATGTTGAAATATTGCTAATTATTATTGTTAGTTTCTATATCAGTCAATATTTCAATATATACTTGCATTAATTTGTATTTTCAGATACGGAAAAATGACCGGGCGTCCTACGAGAACGATTATCCAATTATTGTACCAGCTCAGTTGCCCGGGTGCAACTTTAAAATGCAAATGACTCAGTTAAAAAAAGAAAGTGTAAACAAGGATCAAGTTTTAGGTTGAAGCAAAATTGCATATTATGTTTTTTATTTACTGTTCACAGTAGTTTTGCTGTTTTATATGTTTGTCTAAAAATAAAGTAACGTATACAACCTGCTAATAAATACATCAGTTTGCACGGACTATTATTGATTTATTATATACTAGCTGACCCGGCAAACGTTGTTTTGCTAAATAAGGTATATTCTAAACCATTTCTAGAGAATCAAAAATATTAATACTTTTAGTGTATAAGGATGCGTTGTTTGAATGCTGTACGAGGTCTGTTCAAAAAGTACCCGGAATTTTCGTTTTTTCAAAAAAATATTTATTTATTCGTCTACATTAATGTGGTCCCCTCAAAGTAGTCCCCCCCAGATATAATACACTTATGCCAGCGTTTTTTCCAATTTTCGAAGCACCCTTGATATTCACTTTTTGATATGTCCTTGAGCACTCTCAGCGATTTTCTTCAATCGAGGAAAACCGCCGTCCTGGTGAATTTTTGCACTTTGCAACACTTTATTTCATTTTTTACGCAAAATTTAATACAAATTCTTTGACTTTTCAATTCTTCCATTGTAAAAATCGCCGAGCTCAGAAAAACACGTCGAACCTTAGCGACTACCACAGACAAAGTAAACAGTGAATATAGCTGAAAATTTCATCATACTTTAGGGGCATGTATACCAACACAATAAAAAAAAAATTTTGACAATCAGACACTCCAGACCCGCGAAATTTAATTATTAGTAATTCCGGGTACTTTTTGAACACAGTTAGGTATTATAAAAACAATAAACCAAATAGTTTGTCTATATTTTGTCAATACAATCAAACTGCAAGTTTTATACACTTTCTATAGAAAACATCCTATAATCCAATCCGAGTCTTTTTTGGTCTTTCGGCTTATTAATTACGTTTCAAGTTTTTCAGATTCTTTTTGGATTCTGAATTTTGTGTATAATTGTAAATAATACTACTGAGCTTATACAAAATTTTCAAATTTTTGCGAGGAAAGATAAAAAATGAATTAAGTATTTCTTCTTTGATCTGCTTTTTGAAAAGATTCAAGTTACATTCGATGAATTAAAGTAAATTTAATAAAAAGTATATATGTAGAGCAAGGCGAGACACAAAGGTCCAATTTGACTTTGAGCAATTATAAACTATATTGTGAAAACCATAACAATTAAATCACAACAAATAAGACATATCAAACGAACAATTATCTGACTACGTTCAGTAAACTGACTTCTACTTCATCATTGTAGAAATGTGCTTTTTTGATGTCTTCCAAAAATTTGTTATCTAGACTTTTTTATCCTATATGCGGGGTAACTTGTAACGGGCAGGTGGCAAAAGGTTTAAAGCCTTATTATAATTTTAAAGGTATTTTACAAAATAATTACATTTTTAACTAATGATAAAACTACCAACGGAAGAAAATACGTTTATTATGGATTTTCAAAGATTACCGTTTATCTCCCCCATTTCAAAGATTATCGTTTTCAAATCAAGTTTATAGCTGGCTATACATCTTTTTTCCTTTACTTTCAAATATTGTTGTTAAACAATGCTTAACTTTACTGATTTTTGGCACATCGGTGGTGGACCTTTTTAATCCCGGACCTTCATATATTACTATCTATTCTGCGATAAATTCTGGGAAATTATAACCGGAAAAATGTTATTCGACAAAATGTCCATTTGATCAATACCAAATTTAGGTTCTGAATTTAAATAAGATAAATAAAAAATAATATAACCTAGAAAATGTTTTATAAATACCAATGAGTATATAATTATACAAATGAGATCTTTCAGAGCACCGTGTTTGAGAAAAATATGCCAAAAAGTGCATTTTCATATTAACATATCAAAAAAGTTTATATTTTGAGTCTCTAGTAACACTTGCGGCCCGTTCACTAACGTTTTTGTATATAAATAAAACTACAAACAAAACTACTTACTACAAATTTATCATAAATAAATAATATTCGCGTAAAACATCCTATTAAACGTAATTGAACACCATCTGTCAAAAGCGTTTGACATTTCACGAAATTGCCACCGTCCATTGTTTTATTTAAATTACGCTTTTACAAAAATTTTCAAATTATAAATGTAAAGTTTCTACGCGGATTTGAAATAATTTCTCACCTTTTGGACTTTCTCTGGATTAGCACAAATTTTTCAAGACTAAGACTGGCCAAATCGATTCAGCCGTTTTCGAGTTTTATTCGGACATTTGAAAGAGAGCTCTATTTTTATATATATTAGATTATAGCCAAAGTAGGTAGCAATTATTTTTTGAACTAATTACAATATTTGAGCGTTTTCGTACAAATAAATAAATATTACTAAATCTTCTATTTACTATTTTTAAGTATGTCCGTGTGTGCAAATTATTTATTTTTTAGTTATTTAACAAAATGCATTAGTGATCTATTTACATCGAAAATTATTATAATAACAAGTTCGATTGTTAATCAAATCTTTTTTAAGATATATGTTTCTTAAGCCAGACAAATCCAATCTTTATATTAAGTATAAACGATAATAGCCTTAAAAACAAGTGCAGTTGCAAAATCATAAATCGCATTATCAATCATTTCATACAATGTAAAGAAACAATTATGAATTGAAAGTCAGATTTTGTATCTCACCTTTATTAATGGGTCATTTTCAATCTTTTATGAACGTGTTTTATTTAGTGTGTAACAAACTTTAACGGTGTCTGAATTGCTTCATTTTCGTTTATAATAATATGAATGATTTCATCAACCACATACGATTGCTTAGATGTTAATAAGCTAATGTACGATATTTATGCCGTAAATGATGACACTGAATATTGAGCGGTTAAGACGATAGGAGATCGTTCTTAATCAGTGGACAAAACTCTTTGCCGCATTTGGATTGTAACTTGTCCAGCGGCGGTATCGGATTCGGAAAAGCTCTCATCTGATTCGCGTTGTACGCCCCCAAGTAGTAGCCGCAGTGACTACAGCGTAGTACCATTGTTGGATTTTTCGCGAGTATGCACGGCAGGAAGCATATGGGCCAGCAGCCGACTAAGCACAATGCCGCTAGCTGCGATCGACTCACCTGTTACAAAAAGTTATCAATAACCTATGCGCACTGTGCGGTTCGAACTCGTTTATTGGCTATTGCAAGAGTTCATATCAATAAAAAAAACAACTAATTAATAAACTATTATCAATATATTATTAGTTACTGAGTAGCCGGTCTAAACTTTCGATAAATAATAATTTACAGCCCGCCATTTTGTCTTTTGAATTTCGCGGCTATGTACAAAGCGCTACAGAGCTCGTATCTGGCAATACTATACATAATTTGAAAGGTCTTGACATAACCTACAAAACGACGCTATGCATGATTAGTTTGAATATTGCGTTCAACAGTTATAGACGTGTAAACATGGAGTTCACTAACGCCGAAATTCGCGCTAATTTAAAATTTTCTTTCGTTAAAGGCAAATCCGCTAGAGAAACGTTCCGTGAGATTAATGGTGTTTTGGGGGATGGTACTCTATCACTTGGAACCGCGGAGGAATGGTTTCGACGATTCAGAGCCGGTGAAAACGACACCATGGATAAGCCAGCCGGCGGAAGACCTGTGACGACAAATACCGATCAAATCATGGAATACATCGAGTTAGACCGGCATGTGGCATCTCGTGACATCGCCCAGGAGATGGGAGTTAGTCACCAAACCATTTGAAACCATCTGCAGAGGGCTGAATACAAAAAAAGCTTGATGTTTGGGTGCCGCATGATTTGGCGCAAAAAAACCTTCTGGACCGAATCAACGCCTGCGATATGCTGCTGAAACGGAACGAACTCGACCCATTCTTGAAGCGGATGGTGACTGGCGACGAAAAATGGATCACATACGACAATATCAAGCGAAGGCCGGTGAATCGTCCCAAACAGTGGCCAAGACGGGATTGACGGCCAGGAAGGTTTTGCTGTGTGTTTGGTGGGATTGGAAGGGAATCATCCACTATGAGCTGCTCCCATATGGCCAGACGCCTAATTCTACCATCTACTGCGAACAACTGGACCGCTTAAAACAGGCGATCGACCAGAAGCGTCCAGAATTGGCCAACAGGAAGGGTGTAGTGTTCCACCAGGACAACGCCAGACCACACACTTCGTTGATGACTCGTCAGAAGCTACGGGAGCTCGGATGGGAGGTTTTATCGCATCCACCATATAGCCCGGACATAGCGCCAAGTGATTACCACCTGTTCCTGTCCATGGCGAATGCCCTTGGTGGTGTAAAGTTGAACTCAAAAGAGGCTTGTGAAAAGTGGCTGTCCGAGTTCTTCGCAAATAAGGAGGGGGGCTTCTACGAGAGAGGTATTATGAAGTTGCCGTCTAGATGGAAACAGATTATCGAACAAAACGGCGCATATTTGAACTAAATCCGATCACTGTAACACTTTTTATAAAGCATTGAATAAAGAGCAAAAAAGCGGAAGGGAGATATTTGACAACCATAATAATATACATGCTAAACACTAAACGCACTTAGGTATGCCCCTATAGGTTTATTTAATCAAGAAAGTAACAAACTGTAAATGAAGAATCAAATCAAATTGAAATCCGAAAAATACAAAGAGGAAAGTTAGTAGGTAACGAGAAAATAGGTACAAGTGAAAATAGACATGTGAGTATTTGTATTTCTAGGCCGTTAGGCTGAAATAAATGTGATAACTAATAAGGGGGAATGGCATTGTGGCTTAAGGCAAAATGCTAGAACTTCCCGTACCAAAAAAAAATTTTTTCAAAAAGATTAACATTTTTGAAAAAAATTTACTCTGAAAAAATTAGATTTTTGAGAAACTATACATTTTTGACAAAAATTTACTTTTTTTTGAAAAAAGAAAAAACTTTTTGAAGAAAAATTTATTTTGAAATATTTTGGAAATTCTGAACTTTTTTTCAA